CACAGAAACTTTTCATCATCCATGTCTACTAAAAAAAGGGGTCCAATTTCATAATTTCCTTCTTTTGTGGGCCACCCGTTGCAAATTTTCTGGGCCTCTATAACTGAGGCTCTGGCCAATTTGCCCAACATACTAGCAAATTTTTATTGTTATTTTTGGTGGGGCCCCCCCATCTCTGGACACCTGGTTACGCCACTGGTTTTACTATAGGGATGTTTGTCATATCCCCTCGTAATATCAATAATACCATGTTAGTATTATTAGGAAAACTATTGGCACCACAGAATTTAGGCTAAATGCCCTTCTCAACTGGAAATACATTTTTGGTCAAATCCCCTTTTGTATTGATTGACTAGTTAGTGAGGGACAACTGCATGAGTCTGTAAGCCAAAAGTGTAAACTAAATAAGAGTTGGCAGACAATTTTGTTCATCAAACTTCTGAAGTGCCAGATATGTTGGTTGGTTAGATGATTATTGAAATATATTCCAAAACAGTATTGTAATATTAGTGTTTTTATATTTTACTAGTGCAGCCTTGGTATCAATTTCTACAATACTAATGTAGCAAGTGAGATTGCTCAGATGCTCCAAGAAGATCAGACGAAATATGTACCAAACTGCACTATCGCTCAGGAAAAGATAGTTTTAGAAACAGTACCACTGCAAGGGGACCAGCTATTTGAAGAGAGAGCGAGAAATACAAAATGGACCTTTCAGGATGGGGATAATGCCTGGGATAGACTCGATGGCATTGCTACAGAATTTGCAGATTGGCGTGCTAAACTTAACTTGTTCATGGTTAGTATGAGCTACTATTTTCAGTGTAAGTAGCAGGAATGTTTGAAGAAATCCATTAGCTTTGACACCTGTGCACAGCCATGCATCTGTCTGGAGGATCAGATGCTTGCTTTTCCATTAGCTGTTACATGTACTTACTATTACTGCACAAGTGTATCCTCTTAAAAAAAAGTCTCCTGTACATTTAAGATAAATACATGGCTATAAATAGTTGACTGGTTAACCTACAGTATTTACTGCACAGTGTAATGTCAATGATTGAACCATTTGTAGGTAAATTTGTGTAGCAGTAGAGTAAAATACTCTTGTATAAGATAGAGCAAAATAATAAGGTAAAGCTTAAGCATTTTGTTAAATATTTTATCATTAACAATGCAATATATTATTTGTCTCAAGGTTGAGTTTGACACATTTACAAATCACTCTTCGGTGTCTGAGATTGGGACCTCACGAGCAAGCATGAACCGATCAAACAAAACAAATGCAAGCAAAGGTGTTGAAAACCACTACAACGAGTACAAAGATTTTCATCGTTGTGAGGTGGAGGCACATATATGTGCGTCATTCATGAAAATGTCTGAGATGGCAAGCATGGATGGTAAGTACACTCAATACAGTATGGTATGGTATGGTGCAGTACAGTTACATTAACCCATTAGAGCGCAAGACTTTCCCCTTGATGAGTAAAGTTGTCTGGTGTTATCTAGACAGAGTAAAAGAATAAAGTAGGGAGCATTGCTGCCTAATGGGTTAATTATATTTAAACAGATGCACTATACAATTCACATGAAACTACACCATGGTATTTTTTTTAATAAAGAAAACCCTAACTATGAAATACCCGACAGAAATACACCTAAAGAGGAACAACGAAAATGGTTTCTTGAATTGTGCACAAAATTTATTGAAGAGTTTGTCACAGAAAGCCAGGATGTAGACACACTGGTGCAACAAGTGGAACAGCTTGTACATAAGAAAAAACCCCAACAGTATGTGTGTCGTATTGAAGGATGTGATCAGAAATATGTTTTCCACTCACTAAGAGTGAAGTAAGTATTTAGGAAATCAAATTTCCTTCCATTTTATCAATTAGTTGATAATGATCTCCCACTTTCTTTCCTTTCTTTACTATTAGATGCCACTGGACAAAATTATAACTTAAATAAATATTTTCTAAATTTAATAATACTTAACGGCGACCTGACAGTCCGTTCATGTTGTGTATAAATTAGCATTGCTTAGATAAGGGAATATACATATATAGGTCTCTTTATCTCTTATTTTTTTTCACAGGCATTAAATTACATGTCATAATGTCATATTCTCAAAATATGAAGCAAGCAATGGTGAGAGAGATGAATTTGGTTTCTACCATTGTAGATCCTCTTGCGGTTTTGTTTTTTCTACTAAAGCAATACGAAACAGGTGTGATATTACCATTTGCTATGTCAATTTAGCACAATTATGCAGTTGGGAAATTACTAATGCATACGCTAAAAATGATGTCCTTGTTAACCCATTCAGGCAAAATACACCCTAGTTCGTCCTACTGTTTGTTTCATGCTAATGCCAGACAACTTTAATTAATTCACTGTGCTTATTTCATAGGCATGAAACTAGTAAACATGGTCAAACCTACATAGATGATCAAGTGTGCAAATCAACTGATATGACTGGCAAGAATGAATGTGAAGATTATATGTACAACTACCACAGGTCTAAGCTTGCATTTGGTCTAAGCTTGCATTTGGCCTTATCTTGTTCGACTATCAAGATGCAATTAAAGAAGGTGATGGCGAAAGACTTTATGAAATTTATAAGGTGTGTTTGTTGCTATTCAAGGCAAACAAGAAAAGCAAATATGCATATGTAGTCCTTCTATACCTTGTAAAGATTGTGGCTATTCTATCTAAGAGAGATGCACACAGCTTAAAATGGAACAGATTTTTTAATAAGCATGGTACGAAATCAGGAAATATCCCCCTTGATCTTAGAATAGAGCAGCTAAACAAGATTGTGAAGACCATGTGGAGGTCACTTGGGGCGAATCTTAACGAATCATCAGCTGCCCGACTTGCAAACACAGTTGATGAAATGGAACGAATTCTCAACTCTGTGGATAATGACTGTGGAATTCAATCAGCCATTGGTTACAGATCACAGGGCAATCCATGTGCTGCTGTCATTTACTTGCAATCGGGGCTTTTACATACCAAAAAGGCAGACATGGGCATCCATCGTTTCCAAAATTTCCACGCAGTCTACTCGGAAGTTTGAATTTCAAAGATTTACACTCATGGATGATTGAACATATTAAAACATGGGAAACTCTGTATGATTTAAATAAAACCTGATTTTATTAACTCCTAAGGCTCATTTCCACTCATTGCAAGATTGAACTTGCAAGCTCACAGCGAGTACTTTCATCCAATCACAATACTCGACAGTTCATTGTAATTAGATACAAGCACTTGAGCACAGTGAGCTTGCAAGTTTTTTGCGATGAGTGGAAATGAGCCTTAATACTGCTTACATAATGTATTTTCAGTCATTTCTCAGGTGGCATTATTTTTAATAAACATTGCTTAAATATAAAGTCAGGCCATCATAAAGCAAAAGAGGTTATTACCCGCCTTTGCAACAATTAAAAATTCATTAAATTTAATGCATGAGCTCCTCGGCCTTCTTAAAAATAATAACCTTGCACTGCGCACTTGAGAAAGTTCTTGAAACAAGGTAATGTCAATAAGCTATTGGGTGAAGCTACTGTATTATTAATAAATATACATATACTGTATACAGCTAACTTTTATACACTTAATTGATGGTTTTTCGAAGCAAGCAAACAATGTTGGTCACAAGTGCAACAGACTTGTTGCAAATTCTTGCTTTGAAACACCTTAATTTAATTTTTATATATAGCTGTACACAATTGGGTTAACCCCAAAACTGTAACATCGCCAACTATTTCGGACATTGAGCCCGTAACGCGCAAGCGGATATCCCCATGAAATTCAATATTTTTGGTACAGAATTGTATGAAATACATAGGAATCGGAAAAAAAATATCAAATTATGAAATGGTTCCTTTAATATCAGTATTTGCCTAGATGGAGTACAGTTCCTATATGGTGTATGAACACTATCATAAAAAAAAATAGCACTTACAACCGCATCTTATCTTTCGTTTCGAAATTCGCATACTGAACCACCTCGCCTAATAAGTTTGTATACAGACTCAGGCAAACCCGGTCGCTCCTCGATTTTCATAGCTCAATTTCAGAATTTTCCTAATTGCGTTCCAATTTGCCTAGATGGATCACCAAACGTGAACGTCCTTGCCATCTGCTTCCAAAAAATCGGCTTCTCAAAAATAGGAGAAACCTTTTGTTTTTTCCATTAAATATCGTGATTTGCGTGGACACTTAGAATATTTATGCACTCGTAAACATTTGTGATCGTCGTGAGTTTGTCGCGCGTTTATAGACAAAATTTCGAGCAAAAACGTACTCAAAACAGCTTGAATTTGGTATCAAAATAATTGGCACGATGTGTAGGTTGCAATCCTGCAATCAATTCTGGGATACATGCAGTACGTTCATTATTATCAGTGGCTAAAGGTATTGACACTACACTTCCGGTTTTCTCCCGCAATAATTTACACTGCTGGCGCGAAATTCCAATATGTAAATATACTAGTTTGAATAACAAATGTCTGACGTGCTTCATAAATATTGTAATTTTGAAAAGTTTAAAAGTGAAATTTTTATTGATATGAATCACTGCCTTCAGTATGTGAATAATCAATGCATTAACCCCGAAGAAATTGTATATACAGTACATTTATCAAATAATGTTTTGAAGCATTGGCAAGACTTGAAGAACAGCCAAGTATTAGCAACAGCCTGCATTAGCTTTGTTGAAATATTGAATCTTTTCCTGTCTCAAAATCACGCAATTTTAATAAATAAGACCTGCAAAAGACTCGAAGAACGCTTAAGAAGACTAGCTTCAAATGCAAAAAAGAATTCCAGGGGGAAAAGCGACCAAAAGTATGTAGATTTTGTTAAACAGGTTAAGAATATAGCAATTCGCAACGATGAAATTGTGAGAGCAGGTGACTTAGAGAAAGAGTTGGGAGAATTAAAAGCGAAACATATCGTTTTGGAACAAGAAAAAGGTGAACTTCAGCGACGTTGTGATGAGCTATACCAGGGAAGTTGCAATACAGGCAAGTTGCTCTCCTCTTACTTAATTTTCAAGTAGGCAGTGAAGGTACTATATTTGGATAGTAATTATACAAGTTATTTTATGTTCAAACTACTAACAAGCATCATTGATATAATATTTTTGTTGTGCTACAGATTGACCTAGCAGAGTTTCAGGAAAATGCTGAGCAGAAACTGAGAATCAAGATCAGTGGTGATGGAGCCAAAATGACTAGGATGACCAGCTTTGTGATTATGTCATTCTCTTTACTTGACAATGATGATGTAATGTCATCCAAAGGTAAAAATACATATAACTTAGCTGTATATTGAATATTATAGTGAAAGAAAATTATATGATACCCAGTACAGGATTTCATTTTCTCTAATGCTTTCTTAACAGGTAGTCACACAATTGGAGTAGTAAAAGGGGTGGAAAGCTATGAACTTCTAAGGGATTCGTTTAAAGATGTATTCAACACAATCAATCAGATAGTCAAGGATGGGAAAATTTCTATAAAGGATCACAATATCCCAGTTGAACTTCTACTTGGTGGTGATTACAAGGTAATTAATAAGTATGTAATGCAGATTAATTAGCCTGCCCATGTGTATAGTTAATCCATTGAGTTTGTCCAGGGTATATTTTGTTCAAAACAGCTGTGCGAATAGCTCCTCTTTTACAGTTTCTTTTGTTACTTCTTGGGATGAAGAGTGCCACATCTGATCATTCTTGCATTTGGTGTACTATTCATAAGAACAACAGGTCAGAATGCAATAGTATAACTTAATTATCATGGTTAAAACTTGGATTGTACTTTAATGCAATTACTGCATAGTCTACTACCAATTAGTACCATAGTCTACTACCACTTAGTACCATGGTCTACTACCAATTAGTACCAATTAGTACAATTACTGCATAGTCTACTACCAATTGCATTACTACCAATTTAGATTTGATATGTCAAAGTCACAAGAATACTATTCCCATCCACCCATGAGCAGAACCTTGGAAGAGATTAAAAAGTGTGCCTTGAAGCAGAATCTCTCTTGTGTACACCCACCACTAGTAGATATTCCTTTGCAAAATATAGTCCTTGATGAACTACATGTGATGCTAAGAGTAACAGGTAACTTATATGTTGAGTCTGTTGGCCGGTATAAGCATAAAAACATATACACACACTGGAAAAATATAAAATAGTTTGATCTGTATCTTACAACTGTTGAAGCAGGTTTTTTTTTGGGGTGGGGGGGAAACTAAAAGAACGCCCACCTTTGATACATAACGTACTGTAAATAAATTTATCTTCACCTTTACAGACATCTTAACCAGGAATTTAGTTACTGCAGCTATTAGCTGGGACAAGAAAGAAAATTATGATAGACGACCATGTGAAAGAACAAATCTGCATGTTGAAGCCTTATTGTCTGCTATTAATAGCTGTGGTGTGTGTTTCAAAATTTGGGAGAAGAAAGATGCAGATGGAAAAGGTAGTGGGACATATGACTTTACAAGTCTTATGGGTTCTGATAAGAAGCTACTCTTGTCAAATCTACCAGAAAAGTTGGATGGAGTGGTTGATGAAGGCACAAGTGCCACAGTTATAAAGATTTGGAAGGTTGGTATATATATATATATATATATATATATATATATATATATATATATATATATACATATATATATACATTTATCATTGGTAATCCCAGTGTTAACTTAAATTATAATTTTAAGAAAATTACTGCACTCATCTTCTTTGCAGTTTGTTAGTTATGACAGCTTAAGAGTAATTATTGTTTTACAATAATTATCCTCAATCTTAAATTGTAAATATATTATTTTCTCTATTATATGTTGATATCATGGAACTATAGGATTTCAGCGAGATATATCAAATGTTGAATGAGCAAAATCCCTCTGATGAATATATTACAAGCTATTTTGAGAAGGTTTGTTGTATGATATTTGGTGATTAGGATACAGTGTACTGTTGAAAAGAAATAACAGTGTATAATATTGTAAGTTGTTATTAGATACCTTTTTCATTCCAACATGCTACTGTACTTTAGGCAAAGGCGTGGATTCTCCTCTTTACTTCATTGGGGGGGATATGCGAGGGTTATGGAAAGGCAAATGTAACTCCATACATGCATTCCATGGTCTATCATGTCCCACGCTTTATGAAAACTCATACTGGCGTAAAGAGATTCACTGGACAAGGTAAAGTATATCGCCAATTTTGGTGATTGAAATTAATATCAAGTATGCAGATGCCCTTATTGTGAGACCATTTGGGCCCCATAGTGTGGCCCAATACGGGCAAATTTCCCAGTGAGACACACATTCCTGCAATAATTATATTTTAAATCATAGGAACTGAAGAAAATAATGATGACTGCCGAAGAATACATTTACGCAAGTCAAATAAGTGGGATGCTGCAGGAGATGTTTTGTACGTCATGAAGAGAGTTGAAGCAATCTCGGAACATGAACGAACTCCTAGGGCTTATACAAAGAGGAGTGCACAATACTGGGAAAATGACTTGCTGGAAAGACGAGAAAAACACAAGCGACTTGGCAAAACACAGAGAATTGGCAACCCATCCCAAGCGGCAGTCCAACATAATATAGAGCAATTGTCACCAGCAGAGCTGCGAAAGCAGCTTAAAACTTTGGGAGTTTCAACCCGAGCACGGAATCTGAAACGGCTTCAACAAATGTACCAAGATGCATTAAATCAAGTCACCAACTCATCAGATTGACAAAATGTAATATAAATATATATAACTGTAACTAAATTTTATTTACAATATTTACAAGTTATTTGTATTGCAGGGACGTTTTAAAATGTCCAAGCACAATTTTTCAACTGGTAGTTGAGGTGCTTGGCAGAGTTTGCTGTCTTTAAACATTTGTTTTTTTGATGTCCAAGCCAGAACTGGTTTGACTTTTAAGGGAGGCTGTATAGCATGACCCTCCCCATGAATGTTAAGCCAGTACCACCATTGATCGGGCAAGGGCAAACGAGACATGTCCTCTAATTTGTACAGCTTAAAACCCTTATGGCGTGATACTTCTCCTCTACCACACGATACATAGGGCCAAATGTCAAGGTCCATTTTCACATACGCCGAGCTTGTTGACTTGACGATTTCAGAAGTAAAAGGATTCCTTGAAAAAATTCTCGTCCAGCTTCTTCTAACCTCCGCGCACATGGTGTTGGAGGGTGTTCATAGCCTCTAGAAATATATATATATATATATATATATATATATATAGATATATATAGATATATAGATATATAGATATATAGATATATAGATATATAGATATATAGATATATATATATATAATATATAAATATATATATATATATTATATATATATATATATATATATATATATATATATATATATATAATATATATATATATATATATATATATATATATATATATATATATATATATAAGAGGTGAAAGCTAGGTGTTTGCTCTGGCAATTACACAACAATTGTGAGCCTTGGATTTCCTTTATGATGCTATGGTTAACAAAATAATATATTCCATTCATTACATTGTCAGACAAGATGATATATCTGAGCATATAAATATATAATATAATTCTTAACCATACCTTATGAGCTCGTCGTTAAGATTATTCGAAGGTTCCCATGAGCAAGATTCATGCGGCCAACCTTCCCACTTGATGAGATATTCGTAATCCTTAAAAATACGAATTGTTATTATCAAAGAAATAAATAATTTTAATATCAAAGCTGAAAAGTATATCAACAACGATAGGCCCTTTATATGATGAAATTTCGAGTATAGTTTATCACTTACATTGTTGATGTTTCGCCGAGATATAATCCTCTCAACATTGTAAAGACCAGATAAAGCCTTCCTTTTCCTTTTAGCTCTGGCCTGGCTTCCATTTGACATATTGCAATATATATTTGAATTATTTCAACAATCAGGTTATTCCAACACAAATCCACACACAGCAACTTGTAAATGTACAGTGTTACTAGTACAAAAGTTTAGCTTATAACATCCAACTCAAACAGCTGTTCATTAAGGTCAATGTCTGTATATCCACAATGTAGCAACTCATCAAGGGAAAATTGTTGATGGCTATCAGCCACACATGAAAGGCCAGAAAATAAATGCATTTCATCAATGTCATTAAACACTTCGCTAATAATCGAAAGTACTTCCATAGCTTGGCTCTTTGAAAAAATAGGTGAATAAGTTAGGACATCTCCCACAGAAAATATTTTATGACAGTTCTCAACAACATCTGAAATGACTTGCTCAGAAAAACCATGACTTGACATCGACCCAAGGGCAACAATTGCATTGTAAGATGACATATTCATTTGCTGTTCTGTTAAGGCCTCATGAAGAATGTACTTATCATCTTCAGACACAGACCGATACATATCGTAAGAGCTCACAGTGTTCTCTGAAACAAGCTCATGATGGTATGGACCAAGCTCTTTCTCACACTCACCTGTGACTTCATTACAATGGCATGACATGGTACAAAAACTACAGCAACTATGTGAAGGAATTAAGGGAACAACATCTTTATCAAACATCTTATATGCAGCTACACGCATACAATCATCTGTTCTCAAGAACTCCCTCACGTCTTCATCTACATGTGACACCTGCTGACCATAACAACACAGTAAAATATCAGATGATAAACCATCACGTCCAGCTCTCCCAGCTTTTTGGTGCAGATCTAACAGATCTCTTGGCGGTCCATACATAACAATAAATCTAATGTCAGGAAAATTGACTCCCATACTTAAAGCAAATGTTGAGATTACAATCCTTTTTGAACCACTGCCTTTAAGTGATTTGACAATTCTCTCCTTGTACTTCTCTTGCGTGACTGAATGGAATATGCCCACTAAACAATGTTCTCTCTCCTTTGAAACTGTTGGGTGAAATGCTTGTCTTCCCAATTTCATCATCATGTAATTGGCGACACTTGCAACTGAATACATAGTGTCACAAAAAATTATAGTTTTGGGGGTGGCAATTCCTTCCATCTTTACCATCTCTACAATCCAATCCAATTGAGATAGCATTTGATTTTTTGGAACTTTCAAGACATTGAACCGCAAATTGAGACGATTTGGGCTGACAAATAATTTTGTAGGGTCTTTCAAGGCTAGGCTATTGCAAATGTCATTCTGGGTTTCTTGATCTGCTGTCCCAGTTAGGGCCAACAATGGAGTGCCTGAAAGCAAAATATCATACAATAATATGAATTCATGGCAGAAATTTTTGCTAACATTATATTACACAATACAACAGACTTTTTTATTAGCTGCTGCATCAACCACTTGATGATGATGACGATGAAGTAAAATTCCCTCAGGTGCTATGGTTCTTGAAAATTTTACTAATGACCAATACCAAGCAGTACTTTAACAGCTACTGCACACCATTTTATAGTATTACTTATATGATGTATATACATGTGCACTAGCTGGATATATGGGTCTTCTGATGAAAAGTGAAATGGTACAAACAAAATAGAAATTGCTTGCCTGTTTTGCACATTGACCTAAGCACTGGAAGCTTTCCATATGCCTCTCTGAAAGCTTTCTTGTTTTTCGACTTTGATGACTTCCCCTTTAAATTTCTAAACAGACAGACATCTATTTTCACCTACTGTATATTTACAAATCATGTTTGTTATTGACCTCAGTCCTCACCATACATTAAAACTTATAAAAACTTTATTAAGCGATAATTCAATGTTAAAAAGCGTTTGAATAATGATAAATATTGCAAAATCTTATCTTACCGTTTTCCAGTCCATGTTTCAATTGTATGAGATTCGTCCACAACTATAGCTTCTACAGATTTATGTAGTTCTGAGTTATCATCCTTGAGTATATCAAGGAAATCTTTGTCTATAACATTTTCAGCACTGCAATATATAAATTGCGGGGGAGATGTTGAGATTTGATGAATAGTTTCCCTTGAAAGCTCTATTGCAGAGCAATTGAACGAAGACAGCTCTAAAATTTGATCGCAGATAATACTTTTCAGAGGAGAAACTACAAGCACGCTGATTTGACGAGAAACTTCGGTCTGTTTCACGAAACTATTACGTGCCAACAATACACAATGAAAATTACACTTTTACCAAACCCAGTCGGCAAAATGGCCAAAACATCCCTTCCTTTTAATAGTTCTTTGACGCCTGTTTCTTGTTCTGCCTTTAACACAAACTTACAGGCGAAACTTCTATGCGAATTTAAAATACTGAGCGCTTTTTCAATAAAGTCTAACTCCAAAGCAGACGCCATGTTTATTAGCCATCAACTATACAGAGTTGATAATAAACTTATTAACACCCGATGCCTTATTAGCCAATCAGGTATTTTCAGTCCACCAGTGGACTGGCAATAGAAATCATATAGAAACCTGGCAGACGGTTTTTCACCCTCGCCCTCCGCCGTTCCCGCGGGCTAATCTTCCCGTCCTAATTTTCCCGCCCGCAAGTCCTCCCCCAAATTTTTTTTTCCCGCCCGCAAGTCCTCCCCCAAAAAACCGTCTGCTACTCAGGCTAACCTGTCGCGTCATCTCGATGTGCATCTGCAGTGTTGGCTGTGTTGCTGATGTTTGTACCACAACTCTCTATGTGTTTAAAAACATGAATGATTTGGTTCAATGTCCGAATAGAATGATATTCGTGGAGGTTGCCTGGTAATCTTCAAGTGCTCAGAGTAATATTTTGGCTTTGATCAAGTGATTTTATCAATTTTGGTCTACATATATTACATATGAAGCACATACAATATAATTTCTGAACATTAAACTTAATTTTCGTACCATCAATTTTCATGAGCGTCTGGTTTTGCAACATATTTATTGGTATCTTCCAACCACATGTGTTGCTGCATTTAGACGAAACTCATCGAAAAGGTCATCTAGAGTTGTGTCCTCTGTTGTTGCAAAGTAGATCGAACTGCTTCTTGCTGATACGTTTTCTTCTGCAAGTTTTTTTGAAAGATGCTAAAAATTCATGTTAGGAATATCAGTTTAGATTCTTAACCTAACCTCCAAGTTCCCGTAATAGTTTATTTTCCTCTGTGTATATATTAAATAGGGCAGTGCGTGGCTGAACGCGTCTGTTCATTTATCTAATGAACTTAAATAAAATATACTTTTCATTAACTACATGTAATTCATTGCAGCTTGAAACTGCATTATAAAGTTTCAATTGTTCAAAACTTTTGTTTGATCTTTTTAATGCGCATATTTATATATCATATTATATATACACACACCCCCCTGCGAAATTGGCAATTTTTGTTAATCTTGTATTACGTACTAGAAGCGGTTTACAACACAGCAAAAAAAGCAAACTCGCAATTTTTTACCTCACCCTTTCCAGCGCCTTATGATGCAGTTTAATTGGTACCTTAATTGACACTTGAGTGAATGTCTTGACCATGGATGATTTTAGGCCAATTGCTGGTACGTATCTACCACTTTTCAAGACTGTCAAGAGTGGATTGATCCATTTTAGCACCTGCATTTCAATTAATAGATATTTGTTAGCTATAGTATAGATATGCATTTTTTTTATATATGGCCTATGAATAATTATATAGGGAAAAATTACATTATATGGCGAAAAACAAACCAGGTTGCATACGGAAGATGTTAAATTTTAAGGCAAACATACAGAATGTATTACTTAATATATTAAGTTAACAATCCTCAAG